TATCGGCGCAAATTCACGAAATTTTGAGCCACCGCAATGCCTTCATACACATTTTTTTTGCATTTTGCGGTTCGAATTTAGTTTTGAAATTTTCACAGATGAAAGAAGAAGGTTTGAAGATTACAATGCAATAAAAATCAGAAATACGAGAAATTTCGCTAAAAACGCGATTTTTTGACTCGCATCTCCCCTTAACTCACGACCACTCAGTCAGCGTGCGCAGACACCACGCTACAGAACAGTTTGAAATTAAACAGGCTTATGTAGGCACCGACGAGTCCTCTGCACACGGCGTGAACATTTCTGCAGTTACCACAAAGAGCGGGTGCTTTACTCCACAAAGAAGAAAGTGCTTCTACTTGCGGTGCCGTGTGCAATCTTTTACGCACATTTTGTCTTTTAGAGGAGCAAAGAGCCGTTTTCGCGTAACTACGCAGTTACTCCGGGAAACTTTTTAGAGAGTATGTACATATGTACATTTCTGTGAGCTCATCCTTGCTGACAGAGAGAGAACAAAGCAGCGTTGTGCGTGAGTGCTTCTTTTCTGTATTTCTGTTTCTATATTCTATTTTTTGTATTCTGAGCTGTAAGAGACAATTCAAGTTGAATGAAAACTAACTAGTAACTACTGATTAGGCCTTTATTGGGTGAAAAACCACGGTCTTTCACCTTCTCCCTGGTCTGCAGGGTCAAGCTGCAAGGCAAGCTTAGAAGCTGAGCTTCCCACTGTACTGGAGTCCTCTGCTTTATTCTTCGCCACTTTGCAAACTGCTCCCGTTGCTCCTAGTTACAGTAAGCAAGGCTGATCAGATTTATGACATACTAAAGCGCAAACCTTTTTGTGGCACTTCCAGTATGGCAGAACTAAAGTATTTAAAAAGATTCGTCTTGACCATCGGCTCATAGCAGCTTCGATAAAGCAGCCGTGACACTATGCATATTTGGTGGAAGAAAACAATTTCGCTGAAACAGCAAATGCTCTAACTAGTCTATAAAACAATTGCTTGTTCCCGTCTATAACAAAGCAAGTACAAGGCGCGAAAAAGCTGCAGAGGTGGGCCGCACCGCAAAGAACATTCAAGGACAATAGTCACAGCAGATATTTAGGATAAATTTTGCTGGACTAAAACAATTGCTGGTAACATTCTCATTTCCTCATAACAATATAATTGAGTGATTACTGTGGGGAAGGAAAACTTTGCCTTAGTTGTTGGTTTCCCCAGTGTGCAGCTGACAATGACCACTGTCAAAAGTGGGGGTGCTCAGCCACCCCTTCCCCCGAATTTTCTCAGGGGGCTTGCACCCCCCTTGCCCCCCCACCCCGGCTGATACGCCTGGAATGGTCATGCCAGTTTCGAGAAAGTTCTGGAATATATGAAGTAGTATTTTGTTTGAGACCATTACTGTGTTTTTTAGCACCTTTGAATTGATTCCATCTGCACTGCATGAAGAAAATAACTTAGGATGCTCTAATTATGTCCTTTAGTTGAATGTCTATTGGTGTTATGAATTGGTTGGTAATCAAGCACAGCAACGTAGGGTATGTTGGTACTGATCTCTTACGTCAAGTGAAAAAGAAATTGAATGCTGTTGGACCCTAGCTAGCTGGAAGAGAGATGTTGTTAGAATCGTGAGATGCCGTGGTTTTCGCTGGTGAGATTTATGACTTTCCAAAATTTAGCTGAGCTGTTTTTCAGTAGTGTGGGCAGATCGAAAGAATAAAACTTTTCATTAGCTTTGCTTAAAGTTGTTCAATATGCTTTTATGCATATTTTACATTTAAGCCATGAAGAAGAACTGCCCGAGCACTTGGCATTACTGTATCACCGGATTTTCTTATCCCGCATATTCTGAAAATTTTTAGTGAATTATGGATTTGATATACCATTGCTAATTTTAACCAGTGAAATATACTGACGTACACAAAATTAGCTTGAAAAGCAGCCCGTTCTATTCGATGGATCTATTGTGGAAAAACGGCAGGAGCGTATTTTTGAAAAACAATGCTAATTGACAAATAATCTCCTGATAATTGCCTTTATTATAGTTCCGAATTTGTTTTATGTGTACACCGGCTACAGGAAGGGGTATGTTCATGTCTACTTGGAGTAACTTATGGTCACTAAATCTATCCAAGTAATCCGTATTACAGGCTTCAGAACAGTTTAAAAAGGTCGAAATCTAGAGTTAAATTGAGAAAATTTGGCACGTGACAGGGCAATGACAGTGTGGCCCAATCAATGAGCGGAAAGTTATTAAGTAAATTATGTCTGCTTCAAAATTTTCAGATGGCTGGTTGGTACTCTCACGAAACATATTATTGAAGGAAGAGTCGAAGTCTGGCGCACGATAGCAGCAACCGACCAGGATCTTGTAGGAGGGTCACAATTAGTGTTCAGAAGGAATGAAGTCCTGGATTCACCAGAGCGATCACACCTGTAAATAGCTGAGGTGCAAATTTCGTCAACACTGATAGCCGGATTTAGCCAAGTTTCTGTGAAGGCGACAATATCACAGCTACTGTCATCCGGAAAAACAGAGATCAAATTCTGTTTCGGCATAATGCTGCGTGTGTTAGGGATTGACTGTGACAATTAGGTATTAGCATGTTTTGGTGGTTGATTCTGCATACGCCCGCATCTCTAACAGATTCTATAACTGTGTTCCTCACAAAGTCACAAATGTATGTCTTGGAAGCAATTTGTAGCTTGTCCACAAAGAGCCTATGCGCATTTTTCTGTGTTTCTGCGAATTCGAACAGCTTCCTTCGGGCGAGCCGAGTTTCTAGAGAAAAACCTTTTCGTATGAAAAATATGGAATCTTTTAGATTGTGAGCAGACGACAGGATTTGTACTTTATCCTTGAGGAACGTTAAGTTTGCTATTAAATACGCTTCCGCTTATCTTCTGTATATTTGGTTCACATTACCATTCTGTCGCAGTGACGCCTAATATTTCTGAGCAGAAGTTTATTATTTTTCGTTCAGAATTTGTCGAGTTTTTTTTAGGTTCGTCGTACAGTCAAAAAAAAAAAATTAGATCGCCATAGTCTATTTTCAGAGCTATTACACTGTGACAAAATTTCTGTCACTTGGCTTGATACAGCATGCAACACATCGGCACTAGCCTCAGATACACCTGTGTTTGGGGTGACGCGTAATTGCTTTGCAGGGCTGAGACTTCGGCCTTAAGACACCGAATTTTGTTGCTGGCTTCAACATGTTTTTCTTTCTGTCTTCAAGCTTACGAATGGCGTCTAGAGCTTGAGCAAATGTGTCGGCTCCAGTTTTCGTCATATCATAGGGCCAGAGTTAGATTTCACGACACCGGTGAGAAACAACAATAAAGCGCATAAATTGTGGCACACCCCCACAAAAGAAATATTTTTCGTAATCTTTAGCCTATCTAAGAACTCAAGTGGGCACAACACCGTAACTAGGACATAATTACTAGTTCTGTAGCAAATGGCACCATTTAGGTAACTAACCTGTAAGAGCAGTCACCATAAGCTTGGCATTCTTGGCACGATGTCAGGCCCGAAGTAAACGGCTTCTGGCTGGCTTATGAATCGTGCGCTGTCTGTGCCACCACGTGGTGTCACGATTGCAGGTTGCCAGATGGGGTAGTTTGTCCCCACTGAAACTGCCGTGCAGTTTATCCATTGATTTATACTTGAGGTGTAACGTCCCGAAACCGCCATATGATTATGAGAGACGCTTTAGAGGAGGTCCCGGGAAATTTTGACCACCTGAGTTATTAAACATGCACCCAAATCTGCGCACACAGGCCTACAGCATTTTCACCTCCACCGAATATGCAGCCGCCGCAGCGGGGGATTCAATGCCGTGACCTGTGGGTCAGCAGCCAAGTACATTAGCCACCCCGGCGGGACATGCGTGCAGTTTATCGAAGCAGGCAGCAGCTGAAGTGGGACAGTGGGCAGGTCACAATTCAGTTGAAGAGTTACGGAAAGGACCATCCACGAAATGGCAGCCTGCAAAAGCAACCACAGTAAGCTTGGCATTCTTAGCATGATGTTAGGCCCAAAGTGGATGGCTTCTAATGCTCCTAATGCTTCCCTTGCCATTTTATCCTAACTCTTGCCTATAATTTTAACTTGCGCGAAACGCGCCATACACGAGCATGACATGACATGCGCAGGAAGATTTTCCTATGCTATTGGCATGCTACCCAAGGCGGTCATTATTACACTCTCCCATGTCTCCTGCACAGGAGTCGCCACAGCTCAGGGGATTCGCATAGACAACACTGACAATACAATGCTTGAAAGCTTTCACGTGCTCCTTTTGGCACTCTTGTGGCTTAGCGCGAAGGAGTTGCTGACACAGCTGCACAAATTTACTTGGAGCAGAAAACACCAGAGGAATTCCATGCCTAGCGGCCATCTTTTTCATGTTATGGTTAATTTTTGTGCACATACGGCACTACCTGGGGTCTCACACGCTCCCGTTCTCTTAAGTGCTCTTCGTGAGTACTGATTCTCAGTTTTAGTTGCAAGTATTCGGCCACAGCATTCAAGAAAGTGGCCGAATCTTGAAGCCTTGATTATGGTACACTGGTTTTCTCCTAAATATATTTCTCTCTTCAAATTGCAACCAACCACCCTCTGTCTGAAATGTAATTCTAGATAAATACAGGTTTTGAAGGTTGCTTGACCCACCATTGCTAAGTCAGGTGCTCCAGTTCGTGTTCTATTGGCTTCAATCATTTGGGTACCTCTGAAAACTTGATTTGAATTAGCTATGTTTATGGAAAAGAGAAATGTGTTCAAGTGGGACGTGAAAGCAAAATGCAGATATAGAGTTTTTTTTCTTAATTTATCAATTCATTCTGCTCTTTTTCTCCCTAAATTCTGGCCAGTTATAATTATGACATGCTGATGAACAGTGCAACTTACAATCTTGACATGGGGTTGCTTTGTACAGTAAAAATAGAAATCTGTCTGTAAAGTGAAAGAACAATCTCTCTCCAATTTTGCAGGGACGCAGCTGGAGGCCATGAAGACATGGCGGCCGAGCTGGATTTTGATTCTGCCTGGGTCACAGATAGCAACATTCAAGACCCCGACTTGGCTTCTTTTGCAGCCTTGCACACGGATAACAGGTGAAATGCTTTCCACATAAAATGCTGTTCCTCCTGAAGAATATTTGAAGCTCCGCCTTCTTCTGTGTTGTGATGTCTTTAGAACTGTTTATTATTACCATTAAACGAAGGTTACAAGGAACGGGCCATGCTTGGGCTAGGGAGGCATAGGAGGTAGTGATGTCCTTTTCGATGCGGCCGCCTATGTTACATTCTTTCTCCCTTTTTTTTTATTATCACTAAAGGTTCATTTGTACTGGTGCTCTCACCTGTCTTCGAACTCTAGTTGATATTTTTCTATGTCCATTTGCTGGATGAGTGTCGGTGCTTGTTTCACTGGCTGGGGAACAGTTTGTTTCTCCCTGTGGTTGATTCAAAACGGGAGCTACAGTCTGCCATATCTGCTTTGTAGGTCTAATAAAGGTTATTGATATGTGGGGTTTAACATCCCAAAACCACCATGTGATTGTGAGAGACGTCGTAGAGGACGGCTCTGGAAATTTCGATCACCTGGGGATCTTTGACGTTCATCCAAATATTAACACACGGGCCCACAGAATTACGGCCTCCATCGAAAATGCAGCTGCCGCAGCCAGCATTCGATCCAGCAACCTGCAAGTCAGCCACCTTAGCCACTAGACTACCGCGGAAGGGCATATTGAAGGATGTATTTCTTCTGAGGCCTCCCATAGTTGTTTTCACTTGAGAGACCTTGGATGGAGAGTACTTCCAAAAACAGTTCCCAGGATCCATCTTCGGTTACGGTTGAACACCTTACCTTTGCATCCTTCTTTCATTTCGGGGACTCGTGTTGCGTGAACGTCATACTTTGCTTTCGGCTTTCCTTTTTCGTTGTTGATGATTTCAGGTTTCAGAAGCTCTGCGCTGACTGGCAGTGTTGTCTTGGTCTGACAACTCAAGAGCCTTTGTGGCGCGAGCTCCTAGTTTCTTGGCATGTCGTGCATGCTTCGTAATGCCTTATTTACGTCTGCTTCGTCTCTCTCACTTTTCTTTATAATGTTCACTTGAACCACTCTTTCAACTGATCCATTCGATTGTGGCTACCTGGGACTCGATGTTCGGTGTTGAAGTCTCCATTCTTTTTTAAACTCTTGGAATTCCTTTGCTGAAAAGGAAGACCCATAGTCAGATCGAGCAGCCTTGGTGCACCATGTGGTGAAAACCAGCCTTTTAGTGTTTGATGACCTCTGCTGCAGTTTTCATTGTTAGCGTTCTATAGTCAGTGTAGCCCTAATAGCTGCCCACTATCACCAGGCTGGGCTTTTCCGCATGGTAAAGGAGGTCCACTGCGACCAAGTCCGACGAAGACTTAATACCACTTTGATAGCATTGGCTCCTTCTGCGACTTCTTCTGGCTTGCTTGCTCTATTGTGCAGCATCCAACAAACCCCTCGTTTTGCTATGGCATTTCAGTCTAGTAGACTGTTTCTTTGGCTCTCTTGATTCAACTTCCTATTCTAAGATGTCCCTCCTGTATCTGTTGGAGCAGTTATTTCCTGCAGGCTTTGGGGATGTTCATGCAGTCGCCTTTGAAGAGGGTGTCATCATAGATGGAAGTTCATCGTGGGATGGCCAAAATAGCTTCATTGCTTCAGGCAATTAACTCACTTTTTTTCCAGCCATCTATTACGGGTTGCTTCGATGACTTCAAGTAATTGTAGATCTGCTTGTAGGTCTCTTTTTAGCTTGTTCATAGTTGTTTGCACCATCTGCACAATAGCCAACACTTTCATTTCTTTTGTTGCCTACTCTGCAGTTTCTACAGGTTCGCAGTCTCTCCTCTAGAGGTCTATAATAACCAATTTCTTGCCTCTTTTTGTTGACCATCTTTGGTGCGTTGTGCTGCACATCAGGCAGCAATCTTTGGAGACGTGGTTGGGCTTTTCGCAGTCGCTTTTTTTTGGCTGATTGTTTCCAATGTTTTGTGGTCAGTCCACAATTTAGGGTCTACTGATGGAACTTTTTACATCCATACATTATGGCCCGTGTATCTATCTCTATTCGCAAATTGTTCTATTGTGCTGCAGTCACTGCTGCAGAGGCGCACGTAACTGGTTTTCCTGTTTGTAGTAGCACCGCACTTAGTACTGTCGTACTTGTGTCAACTGATACTGTCATGTCTCCATTCACGTCGTAGTAGGCTAATGTTAGAGCCTTTTTTATAACCTCTTTGATTTCTCGCAAAACACTGCTATGTCCCTCTGTCGACAGCGAGTCAACATTTTGTTTGACAAGTTTTCTCAAGATTGTGGTTTTTTCAGCCAGGTTTGGAACAAACCTTTGCAGGTATTGTAGCATTCCCAGCAACCTAAACAGCTCCACCTTGTTCTTTGGTTTACCAATCCTGGAAATGACATTCACTTTTAGATGCGAAGCAGCTTTTTGACTAGCCTGTATAATGCAGTCCGTCTGTGTCTCCGTGCCAACGCGCCGCACCGCATTCCCTCCGCTGCAACTGTTTGGACGATGCCGAGCAGGTCAAGCCGCAGCTGCACGTTGACGTCACCATCTGTGGTGGTTCTTGGGCCCTCAGACGCAGAAACCCAAGACAAGGACAAGAGAAACATCTATTGACTTCACACACAAAACAATCACAACACTGTGGCTATCTGCACAACACACTGGCTCCGTAATTCAGTCATACAGTCCCTATGTCTACGCGCCCGGGAGTAACCCACGCGTCCTCACTACTCGGAAGTCTTAATTCCGTCGGGTGCCACTCACGCTCCCGCTGAAGACGATGGCGTCGACGACGCAACCTCGCCACGGGAAGGTTCCAAGTGCACGGGAGCTCACGAGCAGACCATCAGCTGCTCGTGCTGGACCAGGCGGCCCCACGCTGCGGCCGACGCAACATTGAGGTCGCACCTTCAATTGGCGGTTGTGCCGGACCGGCTCCGACGTGGCACCGTGGCCACGATCTCGGTGACTGGTTGTGCCGGACCCGAGTCTGGACAGGATCAGCCGCTTGCCCTGGCCCGCACGCTCGTCCGCCACAGGAACAGCATGTCAGGCCCGGCCCGGAACCGCCACTCGCCTCAGGAACATGCCACGCTCATCCCGGTTGGGTTGGTGACACCCGCTCGTTGGTTCGGTCCCCTGAGGCCCAACGCTTAGCGCTCTTGCTAGCTGGCCGCGTTCTTCCTCTGCCCGTCGCTGTTCCGAAACTCACGCGCTCGCGTTCGTCTGACCCCGTGCACACCTTCGTCTTCGTCGGTTATTTTCCGCTGTCGGTTTCACTTCCAGTTTCGATTTTGGTTGTGAGAAGCACTCTTACCACACCATCTTCCTTACCCGCAGCAGCTGCCGGCTCCTCCCAACACATCTAGGTGGTGTTGCTCCTCCCCCGCTCGCAACACACTTCTCACTCGCTTCACCTTTTCCACTGACCGCAATGCTCGATCGCACGTCGTGTGGAAACACTTTCGGCTCGTTTATCTGTGATCAAACTTACACAAAACCTCCTGTGTCTTTACGTATCGAAGGAACATTTTCTCAAGTAAAGGCTACACTGAGTTTCGCTTCAAACCGTTCTTCCAGCACCCGCATTGACGCCCATTTCAGCCGGGTCAACGGCGTACACACTGCTGCTGCTTCGCATCCCACCATGGTTTACTTTGAGGAAATGGTGCATAATGTTTTTCTTCATCAATTTGCAGCACTCCTCACGTGAGCAAATGAGCAAGGAACTTCACTGTGGACTGGTCAAACAAAAATTTTTCTCAATTTAATTTTGCTCCTTCTTCTTGTAACACAGGACATCGTCTGTGTATTTTTGTAGCTCTTCACTGGTCTGGGCATGAACCAAGATGTCATTCATGGAGTTCACCACATTTGGGAGACCAACCAGTAGCTAGCTTATTACTAGTTGGAACACCCCTGGTGCTGTAGCTAATCGAAACTGCACACTTGTGAAGCAGCACCTTTAGAGTGTACTAGAATGAAGGAGTGTGTCCACATGCAGAGGCATTTTTTTTCAGAAAATCCAGGCAGCGCCACCGTCCCCTTTACCTGAAAGTTACCATGGTTACCATTATTGTTGCCATGGTTGCGGCCCTGCATGGTGGCCGCCAGCGGCAGCTTTGCCATCACCAATCATCCCGCATCGGTTGCGTCTCAAGTGTATCCCGCAGCGTTGCAGCAGCGCTCTTGCAAAGCCGTGGACAAGGTCGCACCATGTCTCACGAATAATTCAGCTAACGGGAGGCACTACGTTATTTTCTCTAAAGACGTTGCTCATGGCTAATAGCAGCAGGGCTAGCTTCACTGCATCAAATTAGCTTTTTCACACTAACAGGGCTGAAAGTAGCTAGTGAACAAGTGGTAAAAACTATGCACGAGTGGCGGTGCACCGAGCAGCTAATGCCCTGTTGTACTCGGCGCTCTCGCAGTCAACACGGACACTGCTCCACCGGCTCGACAGCACGCATGAGCCGGAGCTTTGGATGAAGGGGAGTGCAGCACCACTACAAATTTTCAGCGCATTTTGCTTCATCCGCACTGCTTGCTGCCCGCTCCAGGGGACCCACTCTCCCTTTCACTCTTACCCGTGGCATGCTAAATGCGCGGTAGCTTTGTGTCTTCTCTGAGACTATCAGTTGCCAAAGCCCCCTTTTCAAATCCAGTAGCGTGACATGGGCAGACCCTTGGTTCTGGGCAACTACCTCTTTCAGTGTTTTAGTGAATAATGCCATCCCCTCTACACCTTGTTGAGTTCTGCTGGGTCTAGGCAGATTCTGAGTTTTCCCGTTCTGTTTAACTACCACCATTTGTCTGCATTATTTTTATTATTACGTTAAGTTTTATTGGTGCAAGGGCATCTAAGGCCAAAGAGCACCAGTACAAGTGTTGTGTCATTTCGTTTATTAGTTTAAAAATTAAAACAAATGATTAAAACATGATTAAAAATTAAAACAAATATCTACGAACCATTTAAAATGCAGTACATTTAAAAGAACGTCACTTTGTTTAAAAAAGGAATGTCACTTTGCTAAAACCTT